CCCCCCCCCCCCCCCCCACCTCCCCCAATAATTAATTACCACTCCCTTTCATACAGATCAGCTGAAAAATTCTGGAGAGGTAGTAAATGTATAGAAGTAAGCGTTTTCGCCGTAAAAGGCGTTTCCAAGAGAAAGATGTGTCTCGCTCGGTCATCTGAGCTCGATCTTCGCTGAAAGAAGTCACTCTTTGTCTTCGACACAAATGTAAATGATATTAATCCCCAAAACCATCATAAGGCTCTTCGTTCCGCAACAAAATAGTTCGGTAAATACTCTGATGCCTCTGGGGAGCATTGCGATGAGACGAATGAGGAAGCTGTTAGTGCATCGCCTTTCATAGATGATGCAGCCGGTACAATCATTGATCATGTTTGAATAAATGAAGGATTTTATTCATTCAGGTTATTCTTGGAGCTTCCCACACATGGTGCATCTTTGGGTGCACCTTCAAGAGAAAACATTAACTCCTTGAAGATGGTCAGATATATACTAAGAGATACCATCACCGAACTCTTTGTTCCTGTATTTTGCTTGCAGTTATACTAAGGCATTGACAACAATAGTAAATAAATCTCTTTGCCAAAGCCCGAGAACTTTGATCTGATAAAGCAGTGGGTTGTCACCCAACAAGGCTGTCAGATGTTAAATGATCACTAATCTTGAAATGTACATGTATAGGCTTACTTTTAGGAACCACTGAGCAGGCATTTCTCATGATTAGGTCTACGTAATGTTCTGATCCCTCCCCTCTTACAAGTCTCTAACTATAAAGTTATTTCTTTAGTAGCCCCTACCCCCAGTTTGTTAAACAAGAGAAAGGCCGCGCGGCCTTTAAGTCCTAATGACCGCGTCCCCCCGCCCCACCACCCTAAGAATTATGAACGCTCCTTATGAACGTTTCTTTATAGTGTTCAAAAAAGGATAAGAACCAGAGATATCACATCCTCGGAGACATTCGGCAGAGCATAAATGTTATACGCCCTTGCAAACAGGGTTAGGTAAGTGGCCCATCAGGCCAGAGCTAAACTTAGCTTCTGTAGCCTGATGATGAAGCAACTAGGAATATCTTTTTATTTCCCCTGGATGAAGTTTCCAGTCCATAGTAGGGTTACCCCAAGTATTTTTACACCTGGGTGGAGTGAGGTATTTTAAGAGTGAGGTCAGTGAGGTGTCTTGCCTAAGAACACAACACAATGACTCCCAGCAGGCCCGTAACCCGGACCTCTTGATAAGCAAACAACTGGGCACCGAGACTTTTACTTCCACTTTTAAGTCTTAAAATATTTAGCAGCATAAGCATTTTACTACACAAAAAAAAATCGATAAGCGGTCCAAAAATATATGTATGAACTATATAGTTTGTTCATGCCAGACGAGTTATCCGGCATAGCCTATCCTCCTAATTGCCTTACATGTATATAAGCCTTGGCACTACAGGAACTTCAGTCCTCGATCGATCTCGAATGTTACAACTCAGTGGTCAATAGAAAGCTTTCAGCTTCCTACCCAGGCCAGTTGGCGCTATCCGGGTCCGAGTGTGCAGAGGCGGCTTGGAAAAGAGCGCGAAATTTTCCCGACAAGCTTGACAGGTGACGTCACATCCGAAATCGCTGAGGACGACTGGAAATGAGGTTAGAGAGCTTTAGATTCATTCTCGTCCCCAGAGCTTCCTGGGGACCTGAGCACGAGGACCGGGAGGCTCTGGAGACACAGGATTTGAAGACCTAGATTTTAAGACTTCCGGTCATTTGTGATTTTTACGACGTTTCTAATAGCGTTCACTTGGTTTTGCAGAAGTGTCAATGACTGTAAATTTAGCTGATTCAAAGCTTTTAAAAGAGAATCCTTCAACCAACCTCCAACTTACCTTTGGATAAGAAATGACCGGAAGTCCTAAAATCTAGGACTTCAAATCCTGTGTCCCTAGAGCCTCCTGGCCCTCGTGCTCAGGCCACCAGGAGGCTCTGGGGACCAGGCTCCAGTTGTTTAAAAGTTGGATAGCGCTATCCACCGGATAAATCACTACCCAGCGGATAGCTTACTCGCGTTCCCTAATACTTATCCGTTGGATAGTGATTTGTCCGGTGGATAGCGCTATCCAACGTTTGAACAACCAAGGCCAGAATGCTTTTGATTCTAAGAGAACGAAATTTTCCCAATGCGAAGTAGTGGCGAAAACAAGTTGTCAAACGTTTAAAAGGAATTTTATCATTCAGCGATCAGGAGAGGGCTTTACCAGTAGCCCATAACCTGGCTTTACATCCTTCAACTGAAATAAGCGTACTAGCTTTTAATTGTGAAAAAAATTTACAATGAAGCTTTCCGGGGTATCTACTTTTAAAGAATAGGCGAGAAAACGTAAAATTAAATGTTGTCCTCGTCTTCGAATCCAAAGCTGTCTAATTTTAGACGTAAACAACACGTCAACACCCCAAATTTCACTTTCGTAGAGAAGTATGCGGGATATCAGAGCATCGAATAGCTTAATTGTCAGCATAATATTTTCTCCAAAGTTGTAACCCATCTCTTTTCTTAGTTTGTAAAGTGCCTCAAGCCCAACTTTTTTAACTCTTCTCTAGCTAAACTAAAATTTCCATACGGGTTCAGTGTCATTCCCAGATATTTATAAGATTTAACATTGGTTAGTTTATTTACTCCATACTTAAACGAGTAGTTATTTAAGGACTAGTCACAATTATTAAAGATCATGACTTTTGTTTTGTCTAGATTTACAGATAGTTCAGTTTTCTCACAGTAGGATTCCAACTTGTTGAGGATTGTTTGTAGGCCATCTGCTGACCGCGAAAAGATCACTAAGTCATCCGCATATAATAAACAGTTTATAGGTCTTTCAGAGTCATCAAGCAGAACATCCGTTGAGCTTGGTGAATTAAAAAGTTCGGGTAGATCACTTAGATAGAGATTAAAAATGGTGGGTGATAACATACAACCTTGCTTAACTCCAGTGTAACACGGAAAAGCTTCGGTCATTTTGTTGTTGATTTTGACTGCTGATTTATCTTTTGAGTACATGGACATTACTATTTCTAAAAAACGCCCTTTTATTCCTTCTTTTCTGAGTTTTTCGAATAATTTTTGCCTGGGTATGCGATCAAAAGCTTTTCTAAAATCTACAAACACGAGAAAAGCAAGTTTCTGCGTTTTTGTGGTTTAGATTTAACAAACTTATCTATGAGTGTTTTTAAGATGAAGATGCTATCTAAGGTACCGTGCCTTTTTTTAAAGCCGCCTTGTTCTGCTTTTAGAATTCCTTTTTTGGTCATGCAATCATACAATCGATCATTGAGGATGGATGTGAAGAGTTTACCTAATGCAGAGAGCAACGTGATGCCTCGGTATATTTCAGCTTTTGATCGATCATCCTTTTTGTTAGCCCTTCCCCTGAATTTGTTGCTGAAAACCCCCTCTCCCCCCCCCCCCCCCCCCCCCCCC